AAAGCCGGAAGTGGCGCTGTGGCTCAAGTGGTAGAGCGCTCGCCTTGAGCTGAAGAGCTGAGGGACAGCGCCCAGGCCCAGAGTTCAGGCCCCATGACTGACCAAAAAAAAAAAATGTGTGGATGGATGGTGGGTGCCAGCGACCCACCAACGCCCCCGCCGCGCCACCGCCTCACGCGGGCCACCACCTGCTGACACAGGAGCTTTAGACATTCTAGATCCAAGCTATAACATAACCTAGAGCAAATGATAAACGGCTAGCGCTGTCTGCGTGCGCGCCTGTGAGTTCACATCCTTTTCTCACAGGTGAGGCCAGAAGTGAATTCTCCACAGAAGTTCTGACAGTTACCAAACTGTGCGGGCACCGTGGCACGCCCGCCGCCCAGCCACTCGGGAGCTGAGATCTGAGGACAGCAGTCAAGGCCAGCCTGGGCACACAGACTGTAAGACCTGTATCTCCAACTAACTAGCGAGAAGCTGTAAGTGGAGGGGAGGGGTGGCTCAAGTGGTAAAGCACCAGCCTTTAGCCAAAAACCAAAATGACAGAGCGAAGCCCTGAATTCACGCACCAGTATTGGCACACACGCACACACACTCACACACTCGCTCCCACCCACACCCACGCTCCCACACGCTCCCACACGCTCTCACGCATACATGCACACTCACACGCTGTTCTCCCAGCTACCCGCCATTGCTGGGCCGCCTTATGGCCCATGTGTGTTCCAGGTTTGTGTCCTTCGCGCAAGTGTGCAGCGGCATTCCGTCTCCGCTTTAGCTTGTGTTTCTGTAAGAAACCACGTGAGGGATTTTTGCTTTTCTGCCTCCAAATATGGCCCTTGACCAAGTGTCTACTCATGCACTGTCTCGTCTCTCCAGACTAAACCCGCAGCCATGAGAGGCTAGCCACACCGGGACACACACCATCATCCCTGCTGGGAGGCTGGGATGCGGAGAACCCCAGGAACTCAGGAGGTTCCAAGGCAGCCTCAGCAGAAAAGACCAAAATAACCAGCAAAACACAGGGCTGGAGGCCTGGCTCACACGGCAGGGCCCAGGGTGAGCAAGCAGGAGGCTCTGAGTTCAGTCCTCAGTCCCGGAAAAAAGCAAAAGCCAACTAACGCCCGCCCTCAGTATGTGGAAGCCACATGCCTCTTGCCTTTGCTGTCTCCTGCTTTCCTTTCAGCAGTACTAGGGTTTGAACTCAGGGCTTTGGGCTTGCTGGGCTTCCCCGTTCCCAGCTGGCTGGCCGCCGGCCACTTAACCTGCACTTCCAGCCTGGGGCTTGGTTTTGTTTTTCTGGTTGTTTTGGAGACTGAGTCTTACGGACTTTTCTGCCTGGACTAACTCTGAACCTCAGTCCCACAGATCACAGACAGCGAATAACTAGAACAGCAGTGTGAGGGGCCCGGCCTCATCTTAACACATTAACAGGCTTGATTTGTTAAACTGTATGTAGAATTTGTGCGTCTGTTTTCATGATGGGTATTGAACTACTTTTCTCTTTTCATACTGTCTTTATGTAGTTTCTAAATTAGTAATACTAGTCTCTGAGAAAGAGTCTGAAGTATTCCTTCCTTTTCACGTTTTTCAGAAGAGTTTGTGTAGAGTTGGCTTTATCTCTTCCTTAAATGTTTGATAGAATTGACCAGTGAAGTCATCAGGGCCTGGAGTTTTCTTTGTGGGAAGGTTTTGTTTGCCTTTGGTTTAATTACAAGTCAATTCCTTTAATATACAGGGCTATTCTAGCTATTTCTTCCTGAGTATGCTTTGGTAGGTTGTGTTTCCAAGAATCCGGCCACTTTACCTAAGTGGTTAAGTTTATTGGCACGAGGTTGTTCACATTCCTTTATGGACTTCAGCACCGTGGCCCGTCCCACGCCCGCGCTCTCCCCGCTGCGGATCTCCGTGGCGTCTCTCTCCTTTCCCTACCAGTCTGGTAAGAGGCTTAGCGATTTCAAAGAGCCAGCTTTGGCTTCACCGGTTTTCTCCAGTGTCTTGTATCACTGTCTCTATTATTTGGGTCACTGTTCGTTTTCTCCTTTCCTGGTTTTTAAGGAAGGCCATCACTGGCCAGAGGCCTTCCTCCGGATGTGGGGCAGTCTGTCCTGCAGATCAGGCCTTAAAGGCTGCGCCGCCACATCCCACAAATCACGGTCCCTGGTCTCTACGATCAATCTAGAGAGGTACGTGTGTGCATGCACGTGCGCACACAGGTTAACACGCGCGCACACACACATTTCTACTGCCTCCTGAGAAGGTCTGAGAGTAGTAACCCAGTAGCAACAGCCATGTGTAATGCCAGATCTTGGCTTAGAAAACCTGTTCTGGAGCAGGATCTTAGTGTCTAGGCAAAGAGGTGAGGGGAAGAACCGGGCGTTTTGTGGTGCCAGAGAACAAGAAGACGCTCAAACAAAATTCAGCAAAGAAAAGCTGGGGCTCGTCAGAGGGAAGAGGGAAAATGGCTACGGCTGGAGCAATCCGAGCAAGAAATGAAGACGGCGTCTGGTTATCATCGAAGCGTGAAATAAATATCTATATTTATATCCACAGTAATATTAGTAATTGCATGGGGAATTATCAATGGGAACAAGGAAACAGAAACTCTTCATTGGTGCACACAGCCATTATCACCTCATTATTGTGCTGATTCTAAAGCCATCGGGACTAAGCTTTGAAGGGAAGCAAGCTATTTACATAAATTCAAACTACTGCCCACAGCAGGTATTGATCTAAGGCTGGAACCCAGGGCCTCCCATTTGCTGGACAGGAACTCCACCACTCGAGTCACATACTCCAAGGTATTTTTTTTAATTTTATTTTATTTTATTTGTGAACATACTGTACAGAGGGGTTACAATTAC